CCAATTCCTTTAGAGCAATTTGAACTTCCTCCTTCATCACCATAGGCTCTTGCTCATATGTCATTTCATGAAATTCTTCTGTGTCAGCCAATTCCTTCTGATACAGTGACTCTGTGTATTCCTTCCATCTTCTCTTGATACTTCCTGGATCATTTAACATCCTACCCAAGGTAACCTTAAATATTGCCACCTATGGCTTGAATTTGTTTTTCAGCTCCTTCAGCTTAAGAAACGCTGAGCGAGTTCAGCCCTTTTTTGATTTTCTGACTCCAGCTCTCTGCACATTTCATTACAGTATCTTGCTTTGTTTTCCTGGCCTGCCTTTTGATATTTTCTGTTTAACTCTGATTTCTTGTTTTCTTCCTTTAGCTTTGGCTTCTCGGTGCTCTAGTGCAATATTCAGTGTCTCATCTGACATCCATCTTGGTCTTTTCTTCTTTTTCAGCCTTTGTAATGATCTTTTCCATTCTTCATGGACGATTTTCTTGATATCCTCCCAGAGCTCGTCTGGCCGATGCTCAGAATCAGGCACATCTTAGTCCTTAAGCTAACATCGTTGCTCCTTCATAATTTGGAGAGGACCCTGACTGCAGACTTTCACAGTACAATATATCTCCAGATCTGCTAATTGTTGATACCAAGTGTACCAACTGTACCAACTGTGCATACGAGTAAGATGAAGTTGTTGACAGCCATCTTGAATTTCCCTAAGAAATACAGTACCTTTTCTATTTCTTCAAGGAAATCAGCTGAGATTTTAGTAGGAATTGCAGCAAAACTGTAATCATATCAACTAGTGTTGCTTTGTTCATAATATATTAAGTCTTTTGTTCCATGAGTATAACTTCTAATTTACTTGTTTGCTTTTTATTTCAACAATGTTTTATGCTTTTCAGAGTATTTGCACTTCTTTTATAAAACTGTAAGTGGTATTTTAAATTTTATTCTCCAATTGTTTATTTGTTAGTATATTTTTTAAAAAAATACAAGGTTGCAAATCTTATAATCTTGTTCAGTTTACCTGTGGTTTCTTTGTTGACTGCTTATATTTTTCTATTTATATTACCATGTCATCTGCAATGAAAGACAATTTACTTACTCCTTTCCTAATTTTATGCCTTTTATTTCTTTTTCTTACCTATTAGATTGGCTAGAAATTTAAGTACAGTGTTGCATAGAAGTGATGAGTGTGTACAGCCTTGACTTATTCCTGATCATATGACAAAGCCTTTAATATTTGATTAGATGTGATGTAAACTATACATATTTTATGACCACTCTATAACATTTTCATAAAGGGCCCTGTTGTTGTTGACCATAGAGTCGGAACCAAACCATAGCTGACCCTCTAGTGGGTTTTCAGAGGCAGTTAATTGCATGGAAAGAGATTGCCCATCCTTCTCCTGCAGTGCAGTTGGTGACCTTGAACCACATGCCTTTGGGATAGCAGTGCACCTTCTTGCCACTAGGCCACCAGACCTCCCTGAATCACAGGAGAAGGAGGTTGCCCATCCTTCTCCCAGGAAGCAGCTAGTGGATTCGAATTGCCTGCCTTTGGCTTGGCAGTGCAACTCCTTAACCACTAGGTCACCAGAGCATCAAGATTAAGACTAGAATTTTTTTTAATAGAGAGATACTATCTTTGAGACTTTCCTATTCCAGACAAAGAGAATCATACAATATGTAATTTTATGTGCCTAGCTCCTTACATTTAATATAACTTTTCACATTTCAATTTTGTTGTAAAATGTATCAGCAATTCTTTTTTTTTTCATCATTTAATAGTCTGTGGTATAAGTATACTACATTTTGCTTATCCATTTATCACTTTTAGACATGTGGTTGTTTCTATTTTGAGCTATAATGCTGCTATAAATATTAAATATGCATGGACAGATTTGGGGACAGGAGTGTTTTCTTTTTTCTTAAGAATGGAATTTCCAGGTTACATGGCAACTTTATATTTAATCATTTAAAGAAATACCAGACTGTTTTTCACAGCAGCAGCACCATATTACCATTCCATCTTCAGTGTATAGGAATTCTAATTTCCCTGTATCCTTAATAGCACTTGTTATTACCTGGGGGTTTTAATTATAGGCTCTTACCTTCTTTGGGATCTTTTGTGCATGTTGGTTTCAGTCTTTGCAGATGCTTTCACCAACTCCCATTTCCTCATCTTGCCAAAAATGATGAAATAACTTTTAACTTTAGCATTAAAAAGGTGCCATTTTCCAGCAATTCTGGGGAAAAAAACCTTAAAACTCTTTGGTCCAGTTCTTGTCACATGGCCATCCCTCAGCCAATCTCTGAAGCTAGAGGAATGAAATGCTCCAATTGGACCAGCCTGAGTCACATGCCCCTTTCCCTTGAAACTAGAGAATGAAGTGAGCACCATGCAAACTAAACAGAGTAAGAAAAGGAGGAACAGTTTCCCAAAGGAAAATCTGGGCATAGTTACCAGAATTAGAGAAAATAGATCCCAGCTAGAAACCACAGAAGCCCACATCCTGGTACAAAAGATCTGTCTATGATCCAATGTCACGTCACCTCTTTGAACCTTGCGTCCCCATTTGTGGTATACGAGTGATGATCCCTGACCTGTTTAACCCATGAAGAAAATGTTGCAGAGAACAACACGTAAACTGTAAAGCATGGTGCACCCACAAAGAGGAGGGACCACCAGAATGAATGCTAAGCTGCTCTTCTAAGCTGTCTGTTCATCTGTTCTCTAATGTCTTCCTCACAGAGCACTTGAAGAAGCCCCTTGAAGACTACATGGCCCTTTTCCCCAGTGTGAGGATTCTCCGTACCAAGAAGCGGGAAGGTCTAATAAGAACTCGGATGCTGGGGGCCTCAGCAGCGACTGGGGATGTCATCACATTCCTAGACTCACACTGTGAAGCCAACGTCAACTGGCTGCCCCCCTTGCTCGGTGAGGGAGTCCTTCCCAAGGCGAGGTAGGCGGCCTGGAATGAGCCAGCCGCCCTGGCCCAGGCCATCTGAAAAGAGTCATACGCGCATGTCCCATGTCTGCTTGAGGTGTACCCAGCACAGTGCCAGGTGTCATGAAGGGTTCCAAAGGTTGGGAATGTGCAAAGGGACCTCAAAGTTCATTCAGTTATGTCCCTCCACTTTACAGAAAAGGGGACAGGCTCAGCATAGGGAAGTTATGTGCTCAAAGTCACACAGCATGTCTAATGACATGATTTCTTACCTGAGATTACTTAGATTTTGTCAGAAAGCAAGCAAAGTCTTAGAGTGTTAAGACTCAAATTATGGAGCAACATCATCCCATCAACCTAACATCATTACTGTTTATTACCCTTCTACCATAAACCTGGCAGGCGATAAGTATTATCTCTAATCCTTACAAAATTATGCAACATAGAAAGCAGCATCATTTTAATAAGAGCCCAGCTGAGATTCAAAGAAGTTGAATGCTTTGCTTATTCCCTTGGGTCATAAGGGTTACAGACCCCATCTTCTGCTCCAAAGTCTGTGTCCTTCTACAGCCCTATATGCCTCCCTAAATTCACTTCCTTTAAAGGAAGATTTCTAATAGATATCAAGGGATAACTACAAGCAAAGCAGTGAGACCCAAGACTTACCCACCATAGCCATGAAGAATGAACGATGGGCAGTGAGGTGGCCACATAGCTGGATGAAAAAGCCAGCCCAAATCTGGTGGAATTTTACTTTGATGAAGGTAGTAAACAAAACTGGCCCGTATCAAACTGTGAGTCAGATGAGACAGGGCTGGAGGTGAACTGGAGAAGTCATCAACCTTAGATGAAAAAGTTAACTCAAGAATGGATGAGTAAACACAACAGAAAGGTTAGGGAGGGTGACATTTAGGGTGAACACATCAGGTCCCTTGGAAGACTTGTTAAAACACACAGTGCTATGGCTACCCCCAGAGACTCTGGTTCAAGAGGTCTGATGGGGCGTGAAGAGCTGCATTTCTGACAAGCTTCCAGTGATACCAATGCTGCTCATTCAGGAAGCACATTTGTCGCACTGATTAGGGAATAATGCCATTAAGGGGCAGGGATAGAAGAACCCACAGAGTGTTCAGTGGAATAATGCAGCACATTTGCTTTCCAACACAGATGAGTATAGAGCTTTATTACTAGATTATGAGCTTCTGACCACAAGGGTCCAGGATCTCACTGGGTTAGGAAAAGGCTGTAGCCCAGAATTTCTAGTAAACTGTGTATTTAATTAAACCAAGCAATCTTCTGTATTTTCCCCTCATTACCCAAAGAGGGGAGAAAGAGCCTCATCATAAAGCACCTACTTTATGCTTCTGAAGAAGCAACCCATTTCTAGGGTCACTCACAACGAGAGTGAAGTAGTGGGGCACGACGCTGAGCTGGTAGGCTAAATAGCCCTTAACTCTGTTTCTATGGAAATGTATGAAGGTAATTTTCATAATCTGTAGACACACATGGATGAAACATTTCCCCCTCTTTTTTATACCCTTTGTCCAATAGAAATGTGAACCAGTAGTATAGATTTAAAATTCTGTCCCTGCTAATAGCAGCTGATAGAAACATCATGGCTTTTGCCTATGAAACCATTAACACCTGCATGCATGGCTCACTCTGTCTTCTCTCAAAAGTAGGGCTTTCTGAGCCTAAAATGATTCCCTCTCCCACCACCCCAACCAAAAGGAAAATTCCCTCTTGATCATTATTTCCTTCATCATGATCTGGTCCCTATCAGAACTCTAATAATCTCAGCTTTTTATGCTGCTTCCACATTTGAATTTGACATTTACACAGTGAAGCAAGCTGGCCAAGCATTATTATCCACATTTTGGAAATGAAAATACTAAGGGGCAAAGAGAATAAAGGAGATGCTAAGCCTTTCAACTCCAGCTTCTGAGCTGCTTTCAATAAACCTGGTCTCAGAGAACATGGCTGGTTGCTGATCACGTACGTGCTCATGGCTGAGTTAACGTCTTGGCTCCATTGTCCATGCAGTTCTCACAGTGACCCCACGGGACAGGTGCTTGCTCACCTCCATTCTAAAGACAAGGAAACTGAAACTCAGAAGCATCAGATATCCTAATCCATGGATAGGTATACCTCTTGTGTGTGAGGATTTGACAGTACCATGGGATGCTGCCCATCTCATGCTACACCTAGGTCTTCTGCCTCCCAGTCAGCCAACATCAGCAGAGCACTGAGTCCTCAACCCCCATCTCCTAGGAAGTGAAACCCCTTGAATGGCCAAGAATATTTAGGAAGGGGGATTCTTCGCTAGTTATTTCCCCAGAGAAGGTTCTTAAGCTTTGCAAAGAATCTCCAGAAATGTATTTAAATGTTCTGAATATAGTAGGATATACAGGAGGCATCATTATGGAAATTTCTTAGCCAAAACTAAACACTTTGAAGGTATGAGTTACTGGGTGTGGGGGCTGAGGACCATAGTCTCAGGATACAGTAAGGTCAGTTGGTATAACATGGTCAAGAAAGATAGTGTTCTATATCCAGCTTTGGTGAGTAGTGACTGAGGTCTTAAAAGTTTATGAGTGGCCATCTGAAATGCAAATGTTAAGTCTATCTGTGTCTGGATAAAAGAAGAGTAAAGATAATAAAAAAATTCATAGAAGTATCTTTTGAGTGTAAAGGATCATTGAACCAGCTTCAGCTCCCATGACCCTGAGACCAAAAGGTCTAGATGGTGTCCAGATGGGAATTACGTTAGAAGATCATGGGTAGAATGGGAGAAAAATGTAGACCAAAACTCTAAATCATAAAAAGATCAAGCTTACTGGTGAGATAGAGACTCGTGGAACACTTGTACTGTGACCCTTAAACACCGCAAGCCTGGACAAAACTCCCTCTCATGGCTTAGTTTTCCCTCAGCCAGTAAAGAGACCTATAAAGTGAACAACACTTGAGAGGTCCATTCTCCTTAGAACAGTTAACCACTCAAGAGCAAAAGGGCAATATTTTCCCAAGAACAAAGTTGAGAATGCAAGAAGGATTAGGAAAGGAGGAAGCATGGGAAGGGGAGACATAGGGCAGGAGTATGACATCATTAAGGATTAGTCAATATCACAAAACAAAATGTGCATAAATTGTTGCGTGCAAAACTCTTCTGCTCTGTAAACCTTCACCCAATTCACAATAAAAAGTTTTTTTTTAAGTGATCTCAAGGAAATTTGTCTACTAGGCAGATCCAAACGAGCCCCAGAGACTTGAGTCTTCAATGGATGCAGGCATACGTGGGTTTTCTGTTCTGTCGGCGTGTTTATGGTTTTGCAAAGGTATTTTTTATATACATCCCAGAAGCATTGGCATTGATGCAGATATATTCCCTCTGGGTAGCATTTCTCAAGATTTCTTGGTTGTGTCACATAGTTAGAAATACACTGGACTTCTCAATCCAATAGACAAATGTACACTCCATGCATACTGCATGAAAGATGAGCTGAAGACATGTTCCTTGAAGCAGTCTTTGCCTTATTCCTGGATTGCACCTGGATACTCTGTTTTCCTTTTTGTTACAAAACACAAGCACTAAGATTGATTTCACAACCCCCCTATGGGCTGTGACTTACAACTTAGGAAAAGGCAAAAGCCCTGCTTTATCTCCTGGAAGGAAAACATGCCTAGGTTGATGAAGCTTGGGCCCTAGCCAGGTGTGAGCCTGTTCTAGTCCTACTAGGGTCCCCAGTCAAAGGGTCCCCAGTCAAAGTCCTGAGACTTGACTCTTGGCCCAAAAGTCAGCCAGTGGTGGCCACTTAGCATTCTAGGCAGATTGTCTGCCTCTGACAGCTCACTCATGCCCCCTGGCTGCATTCAGGGCTTCCTGGCAGGAGGAACAGTGAAAAGCAAAGGAAAAACTTGCATTCCGTAGGCTGAATAGAGTGAATTTCATAGACTCAGTTTCTCTGAGTCCCTGAAAGAGACTGGGAAGACGTCTAGCTCGAGGCTGCCTTTCTAAGACTTGGATCACCAAGCCTCCAGCACACCTGCTTACAGACCTCCAGTCAAGACAAGTCATCTCTCTAGGACTTTTTCTATAGTTTTGGAAGAATTGAACTGTCTTCTAGAGGAAGGTTATCTGTTAATTAACTGAAGCCAGTGAGCTGTCAGGCAGATAATCTGCCATGAGGTGCAAGTGGTCTGGACAAACTAGAGTCAAGGTCAAGACTGGAGTGGGGAACCTGCGGGGTCCTGAGCAGGTGCCCTGCCAGAGGAAACTAATATCTCTCTTTGTCCTAAGGATGCTGATCACGAGCAGTCCTCTGTGCAAAGCATTTTTCAAACATTATTGTATCCTGTGTTCATAACCTGTGAGGCAGGGCCTCTTGCCCATGTTTCCTAGAAAACTGAGAAATACTTGGAGATCTTGTTTCAGTAGATTCCTCAAGGCCCCTTTATGGGTGATGGGACTGGGACAAGAGCCCTCCCGGGCCGAGAGCCTGCAAGCACTCCACCTTCTTCCCACTCGTTTTCAAACTAGAGTGTTCCGAGAACTCACCTTGGGGCACATTTAAAAGGAAGTAGTTGTAGAATGGGCCATACAACCATTCCCCCATCCTGCCTCGCCTAATGGTCACCTCTTGACTTCTTCAGACCGCATTGCTCGGAACCGAAAGACCATTGTGTGCCCGATGATCGACGTGATAGACCACGATGACTTCCGATACGAAACACAGGCCGGGGATGCCATGCGGGGCGCCTTCGACTGGGAGATGTACTACAAGAGGATCCCCATTCCTCCGGAGCTGCAGAAGGCCGACCCCAGCGATCCATTTGAGTAAGTATGTGCAACCCAGGTTTACGCGGCTCAAACAGCAACACTCTCCTTCCAGATGCATGCACGTGAATACGCGCATGCGCATTCCTTTTCCGTGAGACCAATGGGTGCTATTGTTTCTTTTTATTAATGATTTAGCCTATTTTTTTTGTAACGGTTAAATAGATATTTCTACAGATTAGAACCTTTTTACTAGATTGATAGATTTCTATAGGTGAGGGAAATTGACAGAATTTGCTCAAATTTGTATTCGAGTTTTGTAAATTAACTGTTGTTGTTGTTGTTGTTGTTGTTGTTATGTGCCGTCGAGTCGCTTGCGACTTATAGCGACCCTATGTACAACAGCCCTAAACCCTGCTCTATCCTGTGCCAACCTCACTGCCTCTGACACACCCATCCCGATTACCCCAGTCACTAAATCAATCCACCTCATAGAGGGTCTTCCCCTCCTGCGCTGTCCCTCCACTCTGCCCAGCATGATGTCCCTCTCTAAAGACCTGTCTCTCCTTGCAACATGTCCAGAGTATGTCAGGCAAAGCCCCAGAATCGTTGCCTCCAAGGAGCAGCCTGGTTTAATCCTCTCTACGATGAATCTGTTTGTTTTCCTAGCAGTCCATGGTATGTTCAGTACTCTTCTCCAGCACCACAGCTCAAAGGCGTCAATTCTCCTTCTATCCTCCCTAGTCATTGTCCAACTCTCTGATGCATAACAAGTGATTGCAAAGACTATGGCCTGTATCAGGCGCACCTTAGTCTCCAGAGAGACACCGTTGCTCTTGAGTACTTTAGAGAGGTCCCTAACCGCAGACTTTCCTATTGCAATATGTTTTTTTATTTCCTGGCTACTGGTGCTAAGAGTGTTGACCGTGGAGCCGAGCCAACTGAAGCTGTGAACAATCTCAATCTCTTCACCATCCATCCTGATGCTACCGATTGGTCCAGTGGTGAGAATGTTTGTCTTCTGGACATTGAGCCTCAGTCCATATTGAAGGCTGCAGTCCTTGACCCTCTCTGCAGTAAGTGCATGAGGTCCTCCTCAGTTTCAGCGAGCAGGGTTGTGTCATCTGCATAACGCAGATTGTTGATAGATCGTCCACCACTCCTAACGCCATGCTTCTCATAGAGCCCAATCCCTCGGATAATCTGCTCTGCATACAGGTTGAAAAGGTATGGAACTGCAATTGACTTTTTAATATTCTCTATTACTCTAGAGATTTTTTATAACAATAATTCTTATTGACTCTTTATTCTATAGCCTTAGAAACTATTCCCAAAACCTGCATATTAACATATTTCACCTCTTTGCTTAAGGTCTCCCAAAATGCTAATACTGGTAGGATGACAGACAGTCATCCTTCTTTACTACCTGTAAGACTCAGAAGCTATAAACTATAAAAAAACTTGGCACAGCCGGATTTTAAAGTGGAATGTTAAAAGAAATTGACCACGAACCGGCTCGGGATCGCCATGGCTTTGGAAAGGTCATTGTAGAATGCCCAGCTCTGTGGCCAGTTCCAGCGGCTAGTATCAGCCTCCCAGCCAGCAGCACTGCCGCTCTCGGCTTGTCACAGGCACTTAGCTGAGAAACACCAAGCTGTTCACCTCCTCCTTGCCCACTGAAACCAAGTACAGTCATTCACACACACTGCTCAGCACCAGCTCACCCTCAAGCTTGGTTGGTTCTTAATTGCCATTGAGTCAATTCTGAATCGTGGTGACCCTGTGTGTATGGAGTAGGATGACCCCAGGGAGTCTCCAAGGCTGAGACCTTCCAGAGCAGACTGCCACGGCTATCTTGCAAAGTATCTCTATGTAGATTTGAACTGTCAACCTTTTAGTTGGTAGTTGAGGACTTAACCGTACCTCTGAGGAACTCCTTCAAGGCTTAACACCCAAATGTGTTCATCAGCACTCTTCATTGAACATTTTCTATGTGCCAGATACAATGCTGAAAATATTGCACTTCTAGCCATCATGTCTGACTGTCTGTCTCAGTACTGTCAAGTGGGAACTGAGTCATAGTTGACCCTCATAAAAACCCTCCAGCAGGTTTTTGGACACTGTAAATCCCACAGTGGGAGGTTGCCCATCTTTCTGCTGCAGAGTTGCTGGTGAATTTTAACTGCTAGAGAGGTGCCAGCCACCTTATATGCTTAAAAGTATTGCCCCTGTTTTCCAGAAGATTCTCAGAAGCTACTTTACTTGTTCAGATCACAGAGCTATTAAGTGGCAATGGTCAAATGCACATGCAGGCCTGTCTGGCTCCAGAATTAATTTTCCCATTATTCTCTTTTACTCTATTAAACATTTTTAGGGAACTAAGTGTTTGACCTACAGCACCAACTTGGGAATGTATAGATGGGATTTATAGCATCCTAAAATGAAATAACCTTACAGATGAAAACTTCCAACTCCTTTTCAAATGAGAGACTGATACCCCAGGAGAGAAGAGGACTGCCCAAACAGTGGGTTTGTAGCTAAGCCAGAAGTAAGAGTCCTCTCTCTTATCTGGTGTCCCCAGCTCTTGAAAGGTCTTTTCAGTAGTAGGCTCACCACCCTAGGAACTGTCTTGTGAGCATTCTATCCCACCTACCAGAAGGTGTGCAAAAGATTTTGGGGCACAAATCCAGGTCCCAGCTCTCCTGCTGTATTAGTTTTCTATTGCTACTATAACAAATTACCACATACTTAATGGCTTAAAAATAAAAAAAAAAAAACCAACCAAAACACACACCACCCATGCATTTCTTATCTTACATTTCTGAAGGTCAGGAGTAAAAAATGGGCCTTGTGGAGCTAAAATCAAGAGTGGGAAGTTTTACCTCTCTCTGTCCTCCTTCCCTCTCGTTCTCAATAACCTTCTGCTTCTGTCATCACATCTCCTTCTCCAACTCTAATCTCCTTTCTTCTTATAAGGACTCTTGGGATTATGTTGGGCCAACTCAGATAATCCAAGATAACCTTTCCTTCTCAGAACCCTTAGTTTAGTCACATCTACAAAATTCCTTTTAACCTTCAAAGTAACATTAGCAGATTTCAGGAGTTAGGATATGGACATCTTTGGGAGGATCATTGTTCTGTCTGCCACATATACTTAACCATAGTTTGGTTCCCCAGTAAATCCCTAACTTCTCTTGCCCTTGTCCTCTCCACCTGAAAAAGGAATAGTTGGTGGCTCAGTCATCGTCATGGGCACCGTGCATCCTTGATGTTACTGAAGAAAGTCCCTTATGCTCTAGGCCCCAGAGCACTCTCAAAGATAGAAAGAGCTGAATTTACCTGATAATATGAAAGGTGGCCAGACATGAGTCAAATTTATGTGTCTTAAACAGTTCAGACATTAGCGTTCTTCTCCTGACCCCCTCTGTCCTCTTCAGCAGGGTCAAAGACTTTGTTGGATCCCTTCTAGTCTGAAGTATGGTTTGATCAACAACAAGGTCAGGAGCCATCTGTGGAATAGATCATCAATTGTTCATAAGTACTTTCAAAACGAAGCTGAAGAAAATGAGAACAAATCCCAAAGAGCCAAAAAACAATTTTGAGCTGTCCCACCGGAATTTAGGAATTGTCTCAGGAAGATCAGATGAATTGTGAGATGACGTCAAGGATATCATCCATGAAGAAAGCCAAAAGTAATTAAAAAGGAAATAAAGACAAGACCAATATGGATGTTAGCATAGACTCTGAAGCTTGCTTGCTCTTGTATAGAAAAGCTAAAGCAAAAGAGGAAGAAATGATAAAAGAGCTGAACGAAAGTTTTCAAAGGGCAGTTCAAGACGACAAAGCACAGTATAATAAAATGTACCAGGATCTGGAATTGGAAAACCAAGAGAAGGATATATTCAGCATAACTCAAGCTGAAAGAACTGAAGAAAACAAGCCTCAAGTTGCAGTACTGAAGTGTAAAATATCAAATGATGTGGTAAACATCAAAAGGAAGATGGAAGAACTACAGAGACACTGTACAAAAAGGAATTGGGAAGCAGCCACCTGGCTGTGCTCATGCAAACCCGTACATAGACCCAGAAGCAGCCATTTTAACAGACCAATGTTTAAAATTAAGAAAGATGTGTGTCAGGCTTATCTCTCTTTACAATACCTATCAAGTCTATAGTTTGAGGAAATAGCCCAAGAAGGTGGGCTATATGATGAAGAATCAGGACTAGGGAAGACTCAACAACCTATGATATGCAGGTGACACAACCTTGCTTGCTAAAAGTGAATAGGATTTGAAGTACTTGCTGAAGATCAAAGACTGTAGCCTTTAGCATGGATTACATATCATCAACAACAACAAAAAAACCCAAAAATTCTCACAATTGAACCAATAGAAAACATCATGATAATTAGAAAAAGATTGATATTATCAAGAATTTCATTTTACTTGGATCTGCCCTCAACACTCATGAAAGCAGCATTCAGGAAATCAGGCAGTGTATTGCATTGGGCAAATCTGCTGTTCAGGACCTCATTAAAGTCCTCAAGAATAAAGATATCCCCTTAAAGACTAGGAGGTTCCTAACCCAAACCACAGCATTTTCAGTTGTATCTTATTTTCCTGTAGTGTTGAGTCAGATCTGACTCATAACTCCTCTTCCAACCAGTTTACAGAAGTCAGACATTTCCTGGGAGAAGATTATTCGTCTTTCTCCCATAGAGTCAATAGTAAATTCAAACTGTATGTCTTCAAGTTGGCAGTGCGATTTCTTACACTAGGCTACCAGAGCTCTGATGCATAGCAAGTGATTGCAAAAATCCGAGCTCTTGCTATAATCAGAGTTGTTGGGTACTGCCAAATTGATAGCATCATATACATGTAAAAGAGAAGAACTGAGGCCTTTGAATTGTGGTGGTGGCAAAATTGTTGAATCCACCCTACATAGTAAAAAAAAAAAACCAACAACCAAAAAACAGCTCTATCTTAGAAGACATTGATATGTTGTTGTACTGTAGAGTCAGAACCAACCCATAGCTGCCCCCCCACGCCGTGGGTTTTCAAAGGCAGTTACACAGGAGGAGATTGCCCATCAGCTTATGGCTTTGAACTGCGTGTCTTAAGGATTGCAGCACAGCTTCTTGCCACTAGCCCATGAGAGCTCCTCACCAGTGGGCTGATTCGTAGCATCATGATGGATGGTGAAGAGATTGGGATTGTTAACAGCTTTAGTTTGCTTGGCTCCACAGTCAACACTCTTGGCACCAGTAGCCAGGAAATTAAAAGTCAAATTGCATTGGGAAAGTCTGCTCTCAGAGACCTCTTCAAAGTATTGAAGAGCAACAATGTCAGTCTGGAGACTAAGGTGCATCTGATATAAAGACCATGGTCTTTACAATCACTTGCTATGCATCAGAAAGCTGGACAATGACTAGTGATGATAGAAGGAGAGTTGATGCCTTTAAGTTGTAGTGCTGGAGAAAAGTATTGAATATACCATGAACTGCTAGGAGAACAAACAGGTTTATCCTTAGGAGGGTTAAACCAAGCTGTTCTTTGAAAGCAAGAATTCTGAAGCTTCGTCTGACATACTTTGGACATGTTGCAAGGACGGACCAGTCCTTGGAGAGGGACGTCATGCTTGGAATGCCAGACGGACAGCACAGGAGAGGAAGACCCTCGATGAGATGTATTGATTCAGTGACTGAGGTAATAGGGATAGGTGTGTAGAAGACAGTGAGGTTGGCACAGAATATATCTTTAGGGCTGTTGTACTCATAGGGTCTCTATGAGTTGCAGGCAACTTGACAGCACATAACAGCAAACAACATCTTAGAAGAGGCACAGCTAACGTACTTCTTGGAGGCGAGAATGGGAAGACAGCCTCACATATTTAGGACTTTTTATCAGGAGGGACCAGTCCTTGGAAAAGGACATGATGTTTGTAAAGTAGAGCGTCAACCATGGAGAAGACGACTCTCTAGGAGATGAATTAACACAGGGACTGTAACAGTCCGTAATGGCTGAAGCACAGTGGGGATTTTAGGGTGCTGCAGGATCAGGCAAGGGTTCATTCTGTTATATCTGGGAGGATGGCTGTGAACTAGAGCCAACTCAACAGGACCTAACAACAACAGCAGATGCTCTTGTTTGGAAAGGGAACAAGAGTTCCCCAATATGGCAAGCACATAGCAAAGGCAAAGGAAGCTGTTCCAGAAAACGGAATTTTCAGGGAAACTAAGATGCAATCAAGCAATCAGAACGTCCTTTATTGTTTGAAGTCACAAGTAGATCGAAAGCCTTTGATCTGAAAGGTATTTAAGGATAACTCTTGGCTTGTTGGTCCTCATTATTGTGCTATGAGGAAAAGGTAAGTATTGGTTATGCTTCTAGTTAAGAGCAGAGACTCAACTAGTTTCCTCACCTGGTTATTGAAGGGAATGGCTTAACCATAGAACAGCAGCTCTCCACACTGGCTGAACATTGTAATGTGGGGAGTTTATGAAAACACTCAAACCAATGATCCTACATTCTCTCGGGATGGAGTCTGGGCGTCAGTGGTCATTAACACCCCCCAGGTGATGCTGATGAACAGCTGAGGTCTGCACTTCTCCTGCGCCCTTTGCCTGGGTGCTTTCTGAGGGACTCTTCGTCCTCTGTAATCTCTGGGTCTTTATAGAATTCTCTTTTATATTGTGCTTGGACCTCAAGGTGTAGCTACCAGGGAAAGCCCGTCCTTCCCCACTTATCTCCCCAGGGCCCCAGCAGGTGGGCAGATGGCAGGCACAGCTTGGTGTAATGATGTCTGAAAGGCACCAGCTTTGGTGGCAGGCCCCCGGTTGAATTGCGGCTCATCCACTTGCTAACTGCATGCCCTTGAGCAGATGATGTAGCATTTCTGAATTTCAGATTTCTCTCTCTGAAAAGGGGCCAGTAATAGAGCTTTGTGAGAGCTAATGTTGGTAAAGTGAGTGGCACATACTAGACACTCAAAATTGGCAGTGTTGTTAGTGTTACTGAACAAATCAGAAATTGCAGCAGGTTAGGAATAGAGATATCCCTCCGAGGGTAAAGCCTAGAGCATCCCAAATGCCTTCCAGCTAATGTCCTACCAGTTCTCTAGCTCCTGGCCCCTGTGCCCTGCTTGCAGCTGCCTCCAGCTCAGGCTGATTTCCCGTGAAGCACCAACTCACAAGTACTCTCTTCCCCTCCAAGAATCAAATGTATGGCTACGGGGCAGGGGTAGGGGCTAGGGGTGGGGTGGAGAATCTCAAACAAAACAAAGCATAGAAACCCACAACATTCAGAAGATAACGTGGGGTGATACTAA